TGTGCATTATATTAACCCCTCAAAACCTCCTCTATAATAATAAATTACATTGCAAATTCTTACATTTTTTTTTAATGCATTATTTAAGAATCTATTTACTATATTTACTGCATTGCATTAAACAAGTTGAATGGGAGGCATTATTACCACGTTTGACGGTGTGATACACGAAAAAAATTTATTATAACCGAAATAGTGCACCATTGTTTATTCGGCTATTCTCTTTCCTTGTCGCTCTCTTCTTATTCGTCTCTGTTGTACGCAACAAAGATGTTATTCCGGCATTTTTTTATTTAGTATGGGGTTTGTGTAATGGGCATATGAATCAACAACAATAACTATTTACCTGCCGCCGGATTCAAAAACCCAAAAAAGACGTGGTAATTTATTCTTTTTGGTTTAGAACTTATTCACCAAAAATTTTCGAAACCCTTTAATGGTATAGCATTGGTTAAATTTGATTCGTATGCAAATAGCTTGTGGAAGCATGTGTGGGTACCGCATAGAGAAATGTATATGTGTATATTTTCAGGATCCTTTGGTCAATTTCCCGAATCGTTAACAAACAACTAGCGGAATATGTCTTAAAATTGGATTTGATCCAGGAAAACACCATTATTAAGAGAAAAAAAATTATGCAATCGAACAGGATATTAAAAGTTTATGTTGCAAAGTGCATAAATATTTTGTTTTCACTAATGTAAAGGAGAGAAAAAAAATATGCAGGGTCTAGACCACGCTCTCAAATTCCTATTGTTAAAAAATTCGGCAATGAGATTATTTTAATGGGAAAAGATGTTCCAAAGATAAGAGTGACAAAGAAAGATAATGCAACCTTTTCTTTGTAAGCGAATAGATGTAATCACATGTAACTAAATTTTCTAAGCTATGCATATACTTGACGAATTTCACGTAATACGTTACTTATTTATCTTTGATAATACCAATCCCCTAATTTTGAAATTATCAAATTATCATTGTAATTTGAAGCATAAAATTATCGTATCATATCGAAAGTTGAACCCCCCTTAATTTCTTCATATCGATTGAATCAAAGTCAAATATATAACGTTACGTATCAAATCTTGCTATAGTGATGTTGATAAAATATATATATATATATATATTATATATATATATATATACATAATCTTGAGAATAGTGATATTTTGACTATAAAATTTTTTACCGGTTCAGTGGTCCAGTGGCGCAGTTTTTTCACAAATCATGATGGCTGCACACAAAAATTGAAATCGCATTTTGATTGGTCAAAAACTTGTTGACATCCAACAAGCAATAGGCAGATCACTTGAGATTAGATAATATCATTCGATTTTTATACTGGCATTTCTACATGCCAGTTGACACGTCTTTTTAAAACTATTACAGCAAAAAATTCTCCGCTGGAAACCTAATTTATGGTTGAGAACCTTGCCATGTGTAAGATAATTAACATGGAAATATTACGCGTCTTTACTCGTATTCATATTTTATATATTAGCTATTGATTAAAGTTTCAATTCTACCTCATGTGTATGTGCATAGATATTTTTATTTATTATTAGAATTTAATAATTCATGTTGAATAAATAGTATAAAAAAAAAGAGTTCTTTCTTTATACAATAAATGGGTTGATGTGAGCGCACGGATAATATCACTTAATGGGCTCTAGATACAAGTAAAGATATATTGATTACTTTAGTATAAAATTTAAATTGACCGTTTTCTCATTGATTCATTCATTCTTATGTGTCTCTGAATCCACATAAACTAATAATATAAATCACTAATGAATTAACCTAATTAACCAACGAAAGGATCTTTGAATCCAGTAATGCTGTCATTGTATAGAAAGAAAGGTATTAAACCTGTCAAAAATCGGTAAATTAATTTATTAATTAATTTAATTTAAACTAAGAAAAAAAGAAAACCGATTCTTTCCTCGTGCATTTAGTTGGAATGAATACATTGCATACGTGCCAAACAATTCTTACGTAAATAAAACGAAAAGATGGTATGCACAACACGTTTTACACGTCTACACAAATGAAGAAGATGAATTCTATTCTGGGCTTGCTCTCTTCTCTGAAAGCAGACTTTTGACAGCTTTATATTAAACGCGTGTGCATTAAATGTTTGTGTACTGTATGTATTAGTAATAATATCGGTATGGGACTTGTGACTAAAGATGGTAAAAAAAGGAGCATTACATAAATACATTACCACTATTATCATTTATTATCATTATAATAATAAAAAATATAATAATAATAATAATAATAATAATAATAATAATAATTTATTATTATTATTATTAGGAAATGGTGAATAAGCGATAAATTTTTAATTGGTTTATTTAGTTATAACCAGTCACGTGGCGTGACAACCAGAAATCCCACGTGACAATCAATTTTTCACATATCGCAGAATAATATAGTCCCTTCGCTTACGCTCCCGGATAATAAATATTATTATTATTTATATATATACATATACATATATATATATATTTATATATATATATATATATATATATATATAAATATAAATATATAAATATATATTCGGCATCGAAAATTAATGAAGAGTTTCAATAAAAAGAAAAAGTAAATAAATAATTATGACTTTTAATCTTTACAACTATTCGTCATTCATTCAGTCTTTATGATTTTTTCAGGTGTAATAAAATTTAATATACATTAATACTACTGACTATCAAGTAAATTATAACGAACTAAGTTATTTATCAATTTAATCTGATATTTTTAACTTTTTGACATATTTTCTGTTTTAATGACTTGTGATAATACCCTAATTCTGGTATAAGCAAAATAGAAAACGTAATGGTGGTGGTCAATGCACGATTTTTTTTCGCGAGTGGCTTTTTTTGTGTTGATAGCAGCAGACATCGATTCTTATAACCAATCACATGCAAGATAGCCTAAATAATGTGTCATTAGATTTACGGATCTTGATTTCTATTTGAAATATATTAGATTTTTCACATGTAATCAAGAATCACCAGATAACGAACAAATTTAATGAGTAAAGAATGGGAAGTCCCAAAGGAAATAAATCCTTCTTTTAGTATTTACTCGGGTCTGACTCAGAGCTCTTTAATATCGGACGCCACGAGTAATTCGGTACGGTAATTATTTCCAAATTCGGGATTTTTTTTCATTCAACGGGCAAAAATAAATTTTATCGAAAATTGTTTAATACATGTTAATTTCTAGTCAAATCGATTTTAAGAGACGGAATTCTTTTTAAGACGTGCGACCTTGAAGGTTCTACAGTTTATCAATAATTTATTTTAGAACAATGGAGTAATCATTACATAATGTGTCATGTCTTTTGCTTGTGCATAAAACATTGAAATATGTGATGTTTTGACAGGATCGCGAGTTGTGTTGAGTGAGATATAATCAAACTCTAATTGGTTGCCTTTTGAAAAATGAATGGATAAGTAATAGGTGAAAAAAAAACTGATTGTTTTAGGTAATTTGATGTTGCATTGGTGTTATTTTAAGTAATTCGTTAGTATCAACTTACTTTTTGCTTATAAATTGATTATATAAAGTGGACCGTTTTATTTTCCCATGCACATGCTTTATTTCTCACAGAGTAAAAATACAATGTACACTGCCAACAGAATCGTCAACACACACTCAAGTACAGACTAAATTTATTTGAAACGAATTACCAAGCGAAGTATGAAACGAAACAAACACAAACCTAATAAATAATCATTGTTGCAATATCATTGGTTGGCAGATATCTTTCCAATGTATTAAATTGTATGAAATTGTAATTTTTGCATTATTACGTGATTCATACAAATCATTTGTTTCATCGTTATGCACTAAAATTTCTTCGATACATTATTAGAATAAAATTAATGCGGACAAGTCACTACTAACTTTGAGAATCCATTTAAACATAAATTTGAATGCTAATTCCATAAATTTGATGCAAAATTGGCATACATTCAGCGTAACATTTTCAAAGTTCATTAAAGAATCGCAAAATTGGAATAAATTATTATAGTAAAATATATTAAATTTCATAAATTCAACAAAGAGATGAATTTTTACGCTAAAATATAGTTAGGCCAAGCTCAATAAAGTAATGCTAGGTTTTTCTTATCATTTTTGCTGAATTCTGTAAGTTTTTTTTCTGGAATTTAATATAGAGACCATATCACTAGTCAAATATCGCATACGCTTATGTGGGCGTGCATTTATAGAAAGTAAATAATTAGAGACCTTATAAGCTTGGGAGTGTGCATTAGGGAGAATATATTATTCCAATAATAGGAAGTCTCTTTGATTTTATGCCGAGTTTTAACTAAATTTCTCTATTTCTTGAATGGATGCAAAGTGCAATTAGCAATTATTAATTTGGATCCAGGTGGTGTTAAAATTTCTCGGCAAAATTTACGGTGCAACTTCCTCAGAAAAAAAATTTTTTTTTAGTACTAAAACCAATGGCTTTGAGATTATGTAAAGTGGCAAAGTGAAGGCACTTTGTAAAGCACAATAATGGATTTTTTTGGCTCATAGTTGAGATTTCGCATTTCAATTACATACCAATCCTTCCGAAATGTTTGGGACTATTAAATTTTATAAGAGTCTTATAAGCTTGGGACTGAACTAGACTGTGCATTTAAAGAGAGTATATCTAATGTGTGCATTTGTGGAATGTGCATTTAGGGAGAGTTGACTGTAACTAACTTCGGGCTTAATTGGTGCTTCGGTTTAACAGGGTGACTGTATATATGCCATTACGCATTAAAATTTTTCTCCTATAATGATACCATTGCGCATTAACTATTGATTTTTTAATGTGAGCCAATCAAAAATCAATGACTAACGACGCGTAAATAACAACGATTACGTAAATATCGAGGGTTTAGAAAACATTACAATATACGACAGCGATAACAATTAATAACCACCAACAAAGAGACACCTTTCATTGTTAATAATAACGATGAGCAATGTCTGTCATGTATTATTGCTATGATTGCGTGGCAAAAACCACAAGAAAGCCAATATACTCTATCATTCGAGACTTGCCACCTCGACCACCAGCAAGACTTGGTTTCTATAAGGATATAGATGACAATGATGAGGATAAGCCACAAAGCATTCCACCAAGACCTCCGGCAAGACTGGGTTTCTATGATGATGAAGATCATCCTAGTCCTTTAAAAATACGCAAGAAAAAGAAGAGGACTAGACGAAAAGCTATTCCAATACCGCAAGAAACAAAGAAGTGACCATCTGGGGGAGGGGATTTACAACGATAAATAAGTAAGTAAAAAAGATGGTTATGGGATATTGCCGCATTCGAATATTAATATATCTGACGGGGGATTGGGAAGAAGAAACTTAAACTCATAATTACAATGAAAGAATTGCTCATACCCGATAGCTTATCCCATTTTATGTTTAATAAATGAAGAGAGAAACGCATTGTCGGTTGTGATTTTTTTGTTGACATGTACTTCGTGAACATTAATAGTTATTTTTATTTCGCTTCATCATCAATATTATGATTTCGATAAAGAATTAATTGATTGGATTCGGAAGGCTCTTTCCTTCGAATCCTTTATTCTAGTAATATACAAACTAATGTTTCAATTGTCATAAAACTAATTATTTTATCGTATAAATAAATTCGATATTGGAAAATAGTTTTAATTAACGCGTAAGGACCTAATCCTCTTCACTAAAAAAAAAATGTAATATTTTTTTAATCAGATTCATTTTGTATACATAAATAATGAAAAAGTTGCTTACCGAATATACAAAAAAAAAACGAAATCATCAAACAACAAACTATAATAAGATAGGGTTTATTTGTATTATATCAAAAGATATCATTATGCCTACCATTACACATTTTGGTAATGCCATTTTTTTATATGCATGATAGCTTTCGAGACAATGTGAACCTCGTCACAATACCCATCCTTACACTTTTACGTATCTGATAGATTAATCAGTCATCACATCAGAGAGGACCAAAATCTTATACATTTTTTTGCTTCTAAAATCATGCACACATCTTAAGCATCATATGTTAGTCACATGACGAAAAAGACCATAAAAAAGAAATTTTTGTAGTTGCTTGTGAATGGTCAAGAAAAAAAATGTCAAATAGTTGGGGTGAACCTCGACCAGATTCCTGGGGGGCGTCTTGGGAACAAAATTCTGAAAATAACACTAATTTTTCTCAGCGAAAACAACAGGAAGACAGTTCTTGGGGAGAGGTTGACCATAATACTCAGAAGGGAAACTGGGTTCTTGCTGAAACTGACACCGTTATTCACGATTCAGCGTGGGACGATAATACTCCGGTTACTGCGCGCGATTCATCCTGGGATAATAAGAAAAAGGTAAAAGCAGCTGGTGATAAACAGTGGAATAATAAAAAAGCGGCGAAACCCACTAGTAATGCTAGCGGCACTAGTACGTCGTCGAATAATAGCAACAAAGTTGAACCTAAAAAAAAGGTTGTCTCGCATTGGAATACCCTTAAGAACGCGCCGAAATCTACATCTACTGGTGATGGTGATAGTACGTCGTTTAATAATAACAAAAAAGTAGAATCCAAAACTGATGTTTCGGCATGGGATAAAGAAGAGGTGGTAGATTTCGTTGAACCTTGGGATGATGATAGTAATTCCAAATCCAATACTAATAGCGACAATGCTGGCGATTCACCATGGGCTAATAGTGATGTCAAGGCCATTGATGACTCACGATGGGGTAATCAGAAAAAAGCCAAACAAATTGCTCGCGATTCGAAACGGGATAATCAAAGAAAAGGTTCGCGTCGGGATAATGGAAGAAAACCAAATCCTGATTCGGCATGGGATAAAAGAGATAATAATGAAAATTTTAATAAAAATAAATCTTATACTAATGGATCGTCTTGGAATAATAATAATAATAATAATACTGGAGATTCTCCTTGGGATACTAATATTATAAAAGAAGAGGCTAAGAAAAACCAAGATTCGAATGCCGAAATTGCATCGTGGGATAACATTGATAGTAATAATCCTATAATTTCACCTTATAATGGCAACGATAAAAATAATAATAATGATAATCAAGAGTCGAATCCCGAGATTGCTTCGCGGGATAAAACTGATAATAATATTAATCCTGTGATTTCATCTTGGGATAACGATAAAAATAATAATAATGATAATCAAGAGTCGAATATAGGAATTGCATCGTGGGATAAAACTGATAATAATAATAATCCTGTAATTTCATCTTTGGATAACGAAAATAATAATAATAATAATAATAATAATAATAATAATGAGTTTAATCAAAAGTCTAATTCGTCTTGGGATAACAATAATAATAATAATCAAGAACCGAATCCCACAATTTTATCGTCAGAAAACAGCAGCAACAATAATCAAAAGGCCAATTCCGGGACATCATCTTTGGATGACAACAATGTTCTGAATGCAGGTAGCGAGAACAATAATAATGATCATCAAGCGGGGAATGCAGGTGTTTCGCCTTGGAATGATAATAACAACCAAGAGCCGAATGTATCTTGGGATAATAGCAACGATCAAGGGCCGAGCGCAGGTATTTCATCTTGGGATGATAACACCAATCAAGAGCCGAACGCAGGTGTTTCATCTTGGGATGATAATAACAATCAAGAGCCAAATGCAGGCGTTTCATCTTGGGATGATAATAACAATCAAGAGCCAAATGCAGGCGTTTCATCTTGGGATGATAATAACAATTATAAGAAAGAAGAATCACAGAGTAATCTTTGTGATAATACTGATGGGGGTAATCATGAAGAATCCTTTACAGGATATTCTTCAAAATCGCAAAATTGGGATAACAAAAATGAAGGATATCGAGGTAAAAGCGGAGATAACAGTTATCGCGAAAATAATCGACCATTTAGAGGTGGTGGATCTCGAGGTGGAGGACGAGGATGGGGTGGTCGAGGTCGGGGTCGAGCTCGGGCAAACGATGGCCCATCTTATCGTGATAATTATGATAATCCACCCAGAGGTGAAGATACATTTCAACGAAGTCCTGCAAATCGCACATCTTTCAGTAGAAATGGCGATGGTATATTTGATTATCGGATTGATTTGATTTATATAGGCAAATTCGTCTGCTTTATTTTTATGCTGTTTTCATTTAATTAAATCATAAGAATCTCTCCCTGGTGACTCTAAATTAGCTGGCAAAATCACGAGTCTTTACCAAAGTATACATGCACCAAAAAGACCGGATGGTGCACCATATGTTAATGAAAATCGAGTCTTAACTGGTGGTACTCATAAAGTATGTTTATTTCATTCTTACTTAAAATGTCTCTTTAAAACAATTATTTAAACTTACGTATTGAATAATAACAATAATAACAATCATAACAATCATAATTATCATTATTATAGAAAGTAGACGAAAAGGAATTGGAAGCTCGAATGGAAAAAATGCGAATACAAAATGAAATAATTATGCAAAAACACATTGCGAGTTTTTTTACGATAAGATCATTAGTTCGTTAAACTTAATTTAATTGTTCATACTAAGTTTTATTATATTTCTATAATGTAGATTGCAAAGCAGGACGAAGCTCAATTCCGTAAAGTTGAAGAAGAAAGAAAGCAACAAGAGTTGCGAGATGCAGAAATTCAAAGAAGAAAGGAAGAAGAAGAACGGGAGGAACAACGTAGGCGTGAAGAGCAGCAAAGAATGTTGGAAGCTCGAATGAAGTTAGTCATTTCAAGATATTTATTCATACGTCAATCGATTTCAGTTTTTATGTTTATAATTTGCATTCAAATTAAGACGTTTTTTCGCTGATCTTGAATTACTATTGCCTAGTTCCGAGCGTGAAACTAATGCACAACGACGTAATCAAAATCGCGAGTCGCGCGAATGGGATAAAGAAAAGGTCGATTCAGACTGGAATTACGATCGAGTACCACGAAATAATGGTTTTCGAGGGCGTGGTCGAGGCCGTGGTCGGGGTAATTTCCGCGAAGATCGCGATGGTTTTCCACGAAATTATCGCGGACGCAATAACGACAGAAGAAATTCGCGTGAATATAATGATGACGGAGCTGGATGGGGAAGAGGAGGACGTGATCATGAGGATCAGAATGTTGATGAGAGACCTCGTTATGGAAGGAGATCTAGCAGAAATGAGCCTGATAAAGAAGCGTATGGAGGTGGAACTAGTTGGGCAGAAGAACAAGAATTAGAGGAAACAGGTATAAAAGCTAAACTTCCGTGGGAAACTGAAACGGAAAATCCGAATAATGATAATAGCTGGGGTGCACCTGACAACCAAGGTATTTAGATTTTGATTGGTGTTAATTTTTTGTTGTTGAAAATTTTTTCAAATTATGATAATTGCTTTTAATCGGATTCAGCTCGCGATACAAAATCCTTCGGAAACAATGAGGATTCATGGCCGAATGAAACGTTCAACGGAGAAGTTAGTTGGGATGATCAAACAGGACAATCGCAGGACCGACAAAATCATAATGCGTCCAATTCAAATAATGGTTGGAACTCACAACCAAACAACCAACAACATCAGCACCAAGATGACGAATCATGGAAAAAAGGTGCGAGTCATGAATAAATAACTGTTTGTTTACAGATATGATATTTAATTAAATCTTCCTATTAGACATGGAATGGAATCCAGCTCGTGTTAATGAAGTCCAAGGAACAGGATGGGATTAACAATAAACAAGTTTCTTTTCTCAAAATATGTGAAATTAAAGTAAAAATATAAAATAATAAATAAATCTTCAGGAATCAACGATAAAACGCGATAAAACACGCGTTTACGAATCTATTTCTAAATGCACATCGGGCGTAGATCTTCTAGTCTTGCTTTCCCACTCACGTCTCGAGAGAAAGAGGTAAGCAAAATTATAGTTAATCGATCCTTTTTATCAATATAAAAGGAAACTTTTATTTTCATCAACTAATTCGTTACTCTCTTTTATCAAGGAGTCATCTATATAATACATTCATTTTTGGAACGTTGAAATAAGTGCCATATATAGATTTTTAGGGGAATGTACTATCTAGAATATAGATAGTTGTACATAAAAGATTTTTTCTCTTTTTTTTTTTTAATTTTTGTTTTGGATAAATGGACAGGTAAAAATACAATCGATTTGTTTTGTAATATTTATCATGAAAATTGTGAGCATTAATTTGCAAGAATGAAAATCGAATTCACAAGAATTTTCTCGAGGAATTTCTTCTCAGTTAATTAATTCGGAAATAATAATTTCAAAAATCAAAACTGGTTAATTCAATAATTAATATAAGAAGCGATAGTAATAAATAGAGAAGGACATTAAATAAACAAACAATCATTGTATTAAATGTATGTATCCACTAAAGAATCCCTCATCTCTTTAACGATGGCGGTTGGTTGTGCTTCATGGAGTTTGAAGATGCTTTCCACGACCGATAATTCGGTCGCCGTGCTATCTAATCCAGCAAAAGCACACCAATCGTTCACTACTAACCCTGCACCGATCACGTCAGACCCTCGATTTATTGTACCTGCCTAAAATAAATGATCGACATGTATAAATTTATATAGTGCGTGTGACACGTTTTAGTTTCTATTCACTTACCACCAATGGAACTTGAAGTAGTGATGATAATTCATCCTGATCTTGAATAGCAGTTCTTGGATGCACCTTAAATTACGTTCGATTGTAAATTTAATAATCACAATTCTTTTAAATAAAAGAATGCCTGCGTGAGAGAACTCGCCAAAAACATACCAAAGCACCCTGATTACTTAGAGCACAATAACTCCCAACCAGTACATTTCCCGCAATGGTTTGTGTAAACACCTCAACATCCAACACATCTTTAATAATTTCTTGTGTTTCACGATCAACATCAGGATGAACTAACGCAACATAATCATTACATGCTATCACGTTTCCTAATGCCGATAAACGCTCTTCTATTCGCTGTATTTTAATAGAATCTGGTAAAGAATTTCTCAGGTGTTGAAGTTCTTGATCAGTGGTGGAGCTTGGTACTAGCAGACCTTTACTATTACCTATCATTCGTGAATTCAAAGATCAAAGGATTATCTCATATACATAAAGAAAAGTAAATAGCGTTGCGTAGTTAAACCCACCCACTGTCAGTCTGCCAATAATCCGTGTGCCTGCTATTGAAGTATGTATCACTGGAATCACATCTCCCAATTCACCTTCAAATACACTGTTTATTATGTAATTAAATAGATTAGATCAATTCGTTTTTTTTTTCGCTCCAGTGCTTTAGATAAATAAATGATATGTAAGGGAGAAAAACGAATCAGACCTGTAAAAGTTTTCTGAGCCTCCAATTGCAACCAAGCAATACTTATTGGTTAGGCGAGAGAATACACCAACTTCGTTACTGTTTTCAAATTGTGCGCCTGTATATTTATTTCAACGTAGAATTGATCAGAGTTAGACGATAATTGTTTGAGGATAAATATAAATACTTGTGCGAACAGAAGTTAGAAATATGAAACAAAACTCGGATCATTCGAACCGGTTAAAACCCAACACCAATAGTTGTTTACTTACGAACAGCCATTTTTTTTTTTTTTTAATTCAGCTAAGGATATTTACGTTATGAGATTTTGGGTAGAATCAGAGTATTTTGAAAGTTCGAGTGTTTCGATACTTTTATTACCACGATAAGACGCAGTTTACGCAGTTTTACGCAGCACTGCGCTGCGCTAAAAAAAAATAAATATGACTCATGTGAATTTGTGAAATTATTTAATCGAGAAGTTGATCATCTATCTATCTATTTACTTCTAATCATTGGATTGAATTTTTATTTAGGTATCGCAAATACTTTTTTTTGTAACGATGAAAAAATATCCAATTTCTCATTTTGGGTTTTCTAAAATATTTCGAATGGTAAGATGATAATAAATAATAATAATAATAATTTTGATTGTTTGATTTCCGATTTGATTAATATTATCTAATAATTTTATTTTTTATGAATTGAAAGACTAATCGGAGTCATTCGTTGGTATCCACATCCACATCACAAGTCTCACCTTTCTCTAAAAGAAGAACATTATACACACATGTCAATACCAAACAATCAATATCGAAAAATACTACCACTCATATTAATAGTGATTGTAGATCACCATTATCGCGTTCCTTTACTCTAATATCCACGAGGGAAGTAAATTATAAGAAAAAAAGTGATTACATTAACGATGGTTTGTCCTCGGGCTTTGTTGTGCATCGACGGTTTTTATCCACCACGCTAAAGGAGAAAATTGATTCGGTTGGTTTCCTTGGTTCATTGGATCGTGAAGAGAATTTAAATTAACCTCCTTTATTTGTTAAATAGATGGTTAAAAATAATGATCTAGTCTTATTTATGAAAGGGACTGTCGATACGCCTCAGGTATTCAATTGGTCTTCATTTTTATCTTTTCAAGTTCATTATTTAACGATGGTTATATTGAAATCATCAATAGTGTGGATTTAGTAGAGCGGTGGTTCAAGTACTTGACGCTCAAGGTAAATCTTAACGACATTCATTATTCAAGGGTGAAGATTCATTGATTACAACTGTTGCTATTCTTAAGGTTAACATAATCGATCCCTGCATCTTGTTTGACAGGTGTCGACCTGAATAAAATCAAAGCTTTTAATGTGCTGGAAGATCAAGAATTGAGAGACGGAGTAAAAGTGTATTCGTAAGCGTCAATTTCTTTTTTTTTGCATGTACGCTTTTTTATCATCATTAATAAAATCGGAATTTTCTAGATCATGGCCGACAATTCCTCAACTTTACATAAAGGGTGAATTTGTTGGTGGATGTGATATTTTAATTCAAATGCATCAATCCGGTGAACTTGAAAAGTTATTGGAAAAAGAAGGAATAGTGTCACCTGAAGTAGAACAACAACAATCATAGAACGCATTGACAGACAGACAATTTATAACTTATTTCTGATGTTGTGAATCTTCACGTGTATGCTATTATTATGATTATTATTGTTATTACTATGCTTTTATTCTTAAAATGCTGAGTGCGCTTTATAAGCTTTCATTTATGAATTTTTTACATTAAAAAAAAAATTTAATTATTTCACATTCAAGGAAAATTTTATCTGCTAAAATGAAGAATTTTGCTATTAACACGTTTTGTTTTGTTTTGCTTTGTAACTCTCGAATTCATATTTATATGTACACGATTGAATAACAACAAACATAATTATCCTCATTGCAATTGTTTGTCAATAGAAAACTTGACTTCAGTTCAAATTGGAAAATGCATCATTTGTGTAATCATTTGGTAAATCGATTAAAACCTTTTATAAAAGGGTCGTTATTTTTCCTGATTGCATTTCTAACGATGAATATATCGAAATAAACCAACGACCCAAAAAAAATTACCCATTTTGAAGAAAATTAATATCTATATAAATTTCTGATATTGTTATAACAAAAAAATGCTATGGATATTGAACTTCAATCAACCAATCGAATTATTCAAAATCTGGTCGCCCGTGTTTATTAAACTTCTCGATATATTTTTGCATTAATTTATCACGTAAACCACACACAAACTTTCAAGCGCGTTTTTTTTTTTCTATTAGTCAGAACGCGTCTTTAGCACTTTTATTATCTCCCCCCCCCCCCCCCCCTTCTCCGTCAAAACCTTATATCTTTTTTGGTTTGCTCTTTATTATATCTTTGTTTCGAGAATGTTTTATTCGGAAGCAATCCTTTCTAAAAAGGTTGGTTTCTACTATTGTGAGCGACTTTTCACGCCAACTTGGATTTACACATGGATTTACCAAATTGACCTTGTTGCCTTTATAACTATAGGGCCCCCTCGCTAAGGTATGGCTAGCTGCTCATTGGGAACGAAAGCTAAGTAAGACACAGTTTTTACAGACTAACATACAGTCTTCTGTTGGTGAGTAGTAAACAGTCTCCTGGCGCATTTCAAAAATCAACTCGCCCTCCTTTTTTCATAAATCTGACACTTTAGCTATTATCATTCTTATCATGTTCAGGCGCTATCCTTGGAGGAGACCAGCCGCCGATGGCTCTCAGACTGTCTGGTCAGCTACTGCTCGGTGTCGTAAGGATATATTCGCGCAAAGCGAGATACCTGCTGGAAGATTGCAATGAAGCACTTGTCAAAATCAAATTGGTGAGTTTAAGATGAAAGTTTTTTTAGGAAATTTTGAGCAGATACTGATGTAATAGGTTGAAATTAGGCTTTTCGTCCTGGAATAGTTGATATGCCGGAAGAACAAATTTCAGCTAGCTACAACGCCATCACACTTCCCGATATTATTACCGAGCTTGATATTTTGTTACCTGATCCTGTTTTCAATCTAAAGTAAAAGTTTTTTAACTGATTCTATTCTTCTTCTTCTTCTGTCAATATGCTTTACTGATGACATTTTACAATGAATGTTGATAGAGCATGGGAAGATCAACATCAAATATCAACAAATTTATTAGACGATAACACCATCAACGATATCAATAACCACAATATCAACGTCACTAGTAATAACAACGGAATTAATAATAACAACACGTCACGACCTCAAGATATCACGATTAGAGACGCAGTAGACATATCTCTTGATATTGGCGCTGGAGCTGATTTATTAGGAGATGCATTTGACATAGAAGATGGACGAGGACTCGACCTAAATTTCGACGATGAACTTGTTCCCAATAAAGCTAACGAGATGGACTTAGATTTGGATTTAGATCTAGATTTAGGTGACACCTATGGTTCACCACAAAAGGGAGGAGAAGAAGCATCCATCGAAATAGAAAAGGCAAGAGAGGCACAAATTGAACATTCTATTACTATGGAGGATCTTGGTGTGCCTATTGGTATGGATATCGACGATAAAGAACCATCACAAGCGGATGGTACACTACTGGTTCCAGAAAGAGAGCCGAATGCGGTGAATCCTGATAGCGTGATAGAAAAGCCGGTGACTGAAGTTGAGAACGAAATGATGAATCTTAATCTGAATGAGACAAATATAATGAACCCGAATATCGAAAATCCTATCGATGCTGAGAATAATAACAACAATATTGATAATAGTAACAACAATATTGATAATCCAACTTTAGGGGATATCAGGTAAATTGAAAATATTTAATGTTCATCTTTATCATTTTATATCAACAATGAGACCAAATATCTTTTTTGTGCATAGTTTCGGTGATGAATCGGGAAACGCTATATTCGGCCTTGAATCATCACCGCAGAACCATATCAATGAAGGTGACAAATTACTCTTTTTTGTTTCTTGAGTTCACGATTGACGTACATTTTCTAATGTATTTTTTTTTATTATATAAAGACTTTCAATTTCAGACTCTCGAACATGAAACACAGCCATCACAACATAGAAGAAAACGAAAGTTAAATATCGACAAAGTAACCGAACTGCAATCCATACATATCGCTAACCAGATAAAAGACACCTCTGACATTATAGTAGAGGTAAATCAAACTTAAAATAATGGATTTCGTATGCATGCAAGGAGCTTATGATTAATAAAATTGTTTTCGCTTTGCCTTTATCTGTATATTATTATAGCCTTCCTTTCTCCCGGCATCTCGTAAATTAATTCGTCTTGCAGAAATTCGACAAATAGGACCAAAATATTATCTTGATTTAACCGCTCCCCCTAACGTTCCACCCGAATTACGTCATCTTTTCACAAGAAAACGCCCTCGTTTAGAGGCCATTCCAATAGATAATGAGCCTACGAAACAAGATGATTCACAGATCGACTCTAATAATAACAATACCAATATTATTGCCATCGAGGATGCTCAGGATTCACCTATAAATGAAAATTCCGTCGGAGATGAACAAGAGCCACAAATAATGGAGAATAACGTAGGGGATGAGAAGGAGCCCCCGAAAAATGATAAAGTCACCGGAGATGAACAACAAACTTCAATAAATGATAACTTGGCCGGAGAAGAACCGATAATTCATGATGATGTTGATTTCGATTTTGATGACGATTATGATAATACTAAAAATAATATTGATGTATGAAAGTTCAAATTCGTATGTTTTGACATCAATAATGATTTTAACTGAGAATCTATTATCAAATTAGCACACAGAAACCGGCGGAGGCGATGATTTTGTTTCAAGCTTGCCCAGCCCAGTTAACACCGAAAGTAAGAATTCTCATAAAATTTAATTGTCCTAGACTACTACTTGTTAGCTAATAATAATTCCTTAGTTAAATCACCAACCGGAGAAAACTCATTATCATCGTCGTCGTCTACAATACAACTCTTACAACGCGAATTCGAGAAATTAGAAAAGGATGGAGATCTAAGTTCTCAAAAATCAACAAATTTTATCAGTTATCAAAAAGTCGTCGGAAAAGTACGAAATCTCATCGTCAATCTAAAAAATTCTTTCAGATCTTTTATTATCTAACTAATTGATATGTATACAAACAGGCAAAACGACAAGAAGCTGTTAAACTCTTTTTCGAACTGCTCGTATTAAAAACAAAGGATGTCATCGACATAAAGCAGAAAAAACCTTTTGGAGATATCGAAATTCGGTCAAAGGTAGTAATTAATTAATAGGGTCTAAATTATCACAAGTCTAGGAAATTAAATTTTTTGCTCCTTTTTTTATAGGATAAACAAATGTTGGATAAATATGTCACTTCTGAAAATTGAAATATCTCGTGAAAATATTTAAATTGTATATGACAGATAATTTTCATATTCGATAATTAATAAATAGGCATCATTCGTGATGCGTGTAAAAAAATTCCCTTTATCTGAAATTTATTTCAAAATGAATTTTACTCTTTTACATTCCACATCGGGGAATCGAACCCCGGCCGTCGCGGTGAAAGCGCGAAATCCTAACCACTGGACCAATGTGGATTTACAAGGATAAGGGCTTAAATTGATTATTTAGAAAATTTTTTTGCTAAATTACATAGCATAATTCCCGTGGTTTCTTTTATTTTCTTCTGTTTTCTAGAAATTTCCAGATTCGATTTTAATGCTTTTCTTATATACGTCATACATGCAACATATTTAAAATGTCGCGTTTTTTCGATAAGCTTGAAGTAATCACAAAACAGAGGCAATCATAAAATGGCGAATTGGAAAAACGTCAATAACTGGTATTGCACTAGTTTTGGGTCGAGAAAGGAGAGGGCTTGTTAAACCTTTTGAGATACTAATAGTATTTGCTTTAACTTGCTTTTGTTTCTCGACGGTTACCGATTGTATGAACCTTTTAGGCATTGGTATTATATTATCATATCTTTTTTTTCGATAATTTGTTTCCTTTTTATAACCTAAATGTTTTTGATTTTCATTATAGGACGACCAAAAATTGTATAAATTGGACAAAAGACTATTTTAACACAGCATTCAAGGATTTGTCTGCGGAACATGAAGGAACTAGCGTAAAAATAGATGAGGTTGATAATTGTTCAGGCGATGTGGATCTGAGCAATCGAAAAGGAAAGATTATAACTATCTATGATTTACAATTAGATCTAAGGTGGTCTGGTATGTGTATGTATGGGTTATTTATAAAGTTATAATTTATGTGCGTGAAATATTCATTTTTCCGGGCTTATTATATATAGGTAACTCACCTGACGGCACAGAGGCCAAAGGAACGATCAATCTTCCAGAGGTGGCTCATGACACCAGTACGGAAGATATTGTGGCAAGTCCCCATTTTTATCAGCATAGATGAATTTAACAGAAAGTATATATGATGATTTAAATTTGGGTCGATTTTTATTTCAAGATTAATGTTTCGGTGGATGATGAAGATAAATCCAAAGAGCCCATCAAAGACGTTGTTCGTCAGCATTTAGTTCCAAAAATTCGAGAGAAATTACAAAATTTTGCTAAGGATCTTGTTGAAAGTATGTTAGAATATAAATCAAATTTTGTTTCAACGTTAAAATTCATTAATTTATTTTACATAACAGATAATAGCAAGGATATTTATATTGAACCTTCACAACTTGGTGTTGCAACTCCTCCAAGAGCTGCGACTCCAGTTACTGCGGCAACAGTAGAATCTACTTCGAATGAAGCCGAGGTTAAGACAACGAGCAAAACTACTAAAGCAGTTGTGAATATTGCTAAATTGACCGAGTCAATCGAGTTTCAAACTTCTGCAGAACTGCTCTACGAAACGTATCTCGATCCTAATCGTGTTGCTATTTGGACAAGAGCAAAGCCTGAATTGGCTCGGCATGTTGGTGGTGCTTTCAGCCTATTTGGTGGAAATATTACCGGCGTCTTTACTGAATTGGTAAGTTTCGCGAGTTCGTAAATGTGAAAGTCGTTGAAGTATATAAAATTAAAAATATTACCAATCTATAGATCCCAAATCAAAGAATTGCTCAAACCTGGAGATTAAACACATGGCCTGAAGGTAAATTGTATCAAAAAAAGTGTTCATATAAGATCAAAATTGGTTTGTATTTTAATTTTTTGCTATTTCGGATCTTTGATTAAAATTAGGACATTATTCGAACGTCGTCCTACGGTTTGATCAGAAAAGCGACTCTACGATCGTGCATTTAACTCACGATGGAGTCCCGGTGGGCGAGGAAGACATTGTTCGACGTAATTGGCAAAACTATTATTGGAATCCAATTAAAAGCGTTTTCGGGTACGCATACTTCTATTATACTTATGATTATTCGTCGTCATCATCTTCTGCGACTGGTTCGAAAAAACGATCATCTTCATCAAAGTCAAGATCATCATCTTCAAAAAGAACTAGTCGTACTAATCGTAGTGGTAGTAATAGTGGTAATAGACGTAGGCGTAAAAGTTATAAGAGTAGTAAAGAATCGGGGGGTGGTGGTGGTGCTTTCGGTTTTGGTATTACTGTAGCAATAGTACTGACCGCTGTTGTTTTGGGATTTGTGTATTCTACGCGTTCTACTTCTGCATCTTCCACTACCACATCATCCTCATCTTTGTAGATATGGTGCACTTATATAAGAATTGGTTGTGTGAGTCATAGACTCTTGAGCCTTTGTCAGTCAGTGTTTTCTTATAGAAGGATCAATTAAATGCCCTTACAACGTCAATAGCTAAACGCGAAGAAATCGTCCCCAAAAAGCAACAAAGCCGGATCAACGAAAAACGAGGTAACGACGAAGGATACCACCATGCATGTGAAAAACATTCAAGATTTACAATATAAAAATTAAGTGTATCTTTTCACCAACTTAGATACAATTTCTTTATTTAGAGAATTTCTATTAATAAACTACAACTTAATACTTTGAGTGAATAAAATTTGAAATTTATGTTCAAAAAAAAAGTTTGATCAACGTTACCTCGTGACTTAGAATTCAAATAATAAAGTATCTTGAAAATTACTATTCGAAAAACGTTTCGAAATGAATGATTCTTCGTCATTACCTAATCAAAATGCATTAATGTTTGAAGAAAATGAAGAGGTACTCTGTTTTCAAGGGTCCTTACTTTATAAAGTCAAAGTAAGTAAGTAAAATTGTTAAAAAGAAAGTAAAAGATCCTTGATCCGAGATTTATAAGATCTTTTGCAATATTAAAAAGTTATATAACTTTACGAATCATTTTCTTCTGAAATTATAGATCTTACAATCGGAAAATTGTCAATTAGCGGATACCCTGGGCTCAAGTGACGAAAATAGATACTATCGTGTACAATTTATAGAAAGTAATTCTAGGTTTGTATAGAATATTGGTCTGGTTCTTTGGTTCTCTTTGAAGATGATTGTATACTAAAAATGAAATACTTTCTTCTTTATACTAGTATGAAAGATGAATGGGTTGCCAGCAATAGAATCTTAAAGTTGACAAGTGAGAATCTTGAAAAGCAAATCCAACTTCACGAAAAATTTATTCAGTCAATTGAGAATAATATCTTCATATCGAAAGAAGGATTGATAAAAGAATCAATAAATCAATTTTCAAACAGCCAAGTGAATAAGGACGATACTTTATCATTCAGTAATTCAACATCGAAAATTCAAAGTGATAATTCCGAATTGAAAACTGAAATAACGAAAAATGATTCCCGCATGGATAATGATAAAACCAATAATACGAAGGAAATGCAAGCTTCACCAAATAATGATGATAGGGAAAGTGAAATTATGAATTCAGGGTTTAAAGAGAAAGAAAAAGATGGAATTTTACCAGCTGAAGAGATTTCTTCTGATGAATTATATGAGTTATATAATCATGATTACGATGAATATTCAGATTCCACATCATCTTCACAGGTATTTCTTAAATACACGTAACCAAGCAAAAGGTTAATTTAATGTCTTTGATAGGAATAATTTTTTAATACACGCTCTTATTTTTATTATCCGCAATCTGTTAGGAAGAGTCGGAAGAACAAGATGAATCTTCTTGCATGGATAGTGAGTCAGATGATTCAGACATTCATTTTGAATTTCCCAAACTTCTCATACATAAACTTTGTGAAGATCGTGAAAATGTCGTAAAATATGACAAAGTGAGCTGATAATTTTTTTCGAAATTATTCTTCAATTATCAGTAAATTAATGCTTGTTTTTATGAATAAATCAGGTTATCTCAACTCCGCGAGCAATTACGGTCAAACAAATTCTAGAGCGATGGGTTGTCTATCAAAAAGCAGAAGATGGCTATCATACTAATTCGATGAATGTTATTAATGGCAATGATGAAGAAACAAGTTTAGAAGGTACAATAAATGGGAAAGGTAGACTAATAATACATGATAATGCTAATGTTCAACATGACGCCATCAATATTGACATTTCTCACGATGATGATAATGATGAGCCGGATGAATCAAACTCCGATTCCGATTCAGAAATAAAGTAAATATCACCTCACAATTGTAGAGCCTTCTGCGGTAATTGTACTAATTTGCTTGCTTTCTCCGCAGAGACATTTACTCAGAGATGGCTGAAGGTCTCATGAAACATTTCGATCGTGTATTAATTCGCAACTTATTGTACACTAATGAGAAACCAATTTCACACCAAAATTTAAAGTTTTCGGAAATCTATGGCGCCGAACATTTACTTCGATTATTATGTAAAGATTTCTACTGTAATAAATTAATGTTTGAATCACTTTTTTAAAGTCTTCTGATTATTTTCATTCTCACAGATCAGTTGCCTTCTTTCTTGGAAATGATGAAATTGACACAGCACGCAATCAAAGAATTAACTTATCGATCCGCTCAAATTATGAAGTAAATATACTAAGATATAATAAAATTACATCCTCTAAATCATTACAATTATTAACGTCATTATCCTCTTATAAGTTTTTTGGTCAAGAATGCCGATGAATTTTTCACTACATCTTCGACAAAAACAAGGAAATCCAAGGATCTCTTGAAGAATGCCAGAACTAGAATCTCGAGAAGAATCAAAGAAACAAAAACCTCGATGAAAAGAAAAAGGCGAAAGATCATAACGAAAAAATCAAGGCAAGCAAAACCTTTTGTGAAAAGGTCATCATTCATCACGACAAACCCAAAAGAAACAGGACTTCCTTCAAAAAAACAAAAGGTTAATCTTGATTTAGAAGGTATAGATGGCTTATGTTATTAGATTTTTGAAATTTTGACAATTAATCGACTTAGAATAAAAATCTTAGACTATATTTGTGAAAATTGTGTGACGACGTTCTCTACACAGTGGCGATTAGGTCTAAACGGAGAAAGACTGTGTAATGGTAATGTAATTTTTAATTTTCATGTCATGATAAAAAAATTTGATTCATTTCTAATAAAACAATTTTTTACTCTTAGCCTGTTGTGTCTACGAAAGGCGACATGGAAAACCTCGTCCTTACAGAACCGCATATAAAGCAAGGAAATCAAAGAACAAACGATAAACATCTTCAGACATTATTTAACGTTTTTTGTTTCCTTACAATTTTTAGCACGTGATTACAAGTAGTCTTTTTTTTTTGCAACGGATATGTACAATATTTTTCGAGTGGTAATTTCTCGTGATTAAATAATTATGGTCAATTTAGGGTCATTGGTGAATGTAAAAAATTGCGTGATGCAATTCTTCTTTAAATGGGTGGATATTCTTATTTGTACTTATAAAATGGTGTTCAGGTGGTGTTTTTAGTAATCACCATTAATCTCTTACTGCTATCCATCAAACGATATTAACAGAATGCACAAATCATAAAAATTAATAATACAATTCCAAAGCTCGAAATATTTACTATTCCTTCCATATTAATTGTTACCTATGTATATCCAGTTGTTAAGAAAAGGTAAGCGCGAAGGGTAAGCTTTGATATAGGGCTAAGCAGTCATGCCTTGTGATTCTAATGGTCGACACCTTTGTGAGATTTCAGATAGAGGCTTAAGTCAATAGGTAAGCATAAACTATAAAATTTTTCTTTTTCTATTATTAAAAATACAATTGTTTATTAAAAGTAATGTTGTTCATGCTACTAATAAAACACTTTCGAAATCTTTTTGTTTTTTCAAAAGCTTTATTACAAGCTATTTTTTCAAAAAAGAACACGTTGATCTTGCAATTTGGATTAAAAATCACGTGAACAGACCTTCCTTCGCTAATATGTAGAAATATACAATCATGTATATTTACATGACAAAATTCAGCAAATAAGAGAGTATTTACGTGACATCTTCAACACTATATTTAACAATGTAAAAATAGCTTTATAATCCTTTACCAATTTTAAATACGTGACGACAATTCGTAATATCTGCCACGATCTTATTTGAACCCCTTTTTCGTGAGTTTTTCCTTTATGCTAGAGATCTTGAAACTGAAGGTTTCGACGCTCATAAATATATTCGTTTTTGAAGTTAAAGAATGGAATAAATTCTATATAATATAACACGCGTTCATCTAAATCTAAACAATCCAAAGTTTCGTATTAAATTTGGACGACTCTCAAAAATGTATGCCAGTTTTTTTGGTAAATTCGTGTATAATTTAATTCCAGTCTCTTAGTTCACCATGAATTAATTGAATTCATACATTCTGTTGCAACACCATTGTATAATAATTAATGACTAAGTAAATTACCTTTATCCATATTATCTACAGTTTCGCACGGAATGTAATGGCGACAATTTTTTTAAAATAAATAAAATCTAGAATAATAATAATCGTATATAAAAATTTATTTTTATAATGCTTATAAACAGGGTCTTTATACTCTTAAAATATTTACATTCCACATGTCTTCTTTCTGTATCAATGCTAATTTGAATTCAAATAGGCATAAGGATGATACCCCTAAGAGCTACCTTCTCAAAAGTGTACTTTTTTTTCTCTTTCATTAGTACAACAAAAAGCCTTTTGCAGCATGTTCGGCTTTTGTTATATCATTATATCTTATCTCTCCTTTCATGTCTCCGCTTGAAAAATAATCAGATATTATGTATAAATTGAGATCCAGACTTCATTAAAACCATATTGCATACTGCGCCACAAAAATTTCATGAAGAGGCTTTATATAAATAACCAAAAAGTAAATAATTGATTGAAATTTGAGTAATTTTTGTAGATAAAGGAGGATGATTATTGCAATAAACAGGAAATATAGCATGTCAGCATAAATCAACAGGTGATTATGCATATCTCAGCAGATGCACACAGCTAAAAATCTGTCCGCCGTGTGGACTGTTTCAACCCGGTTGTGGTCTCTGGTTAAAAATTTATTCCAGATCCTTTTTCTACACTGGCTGATTTTTGTCAAAGCAACGATGCTTTTTGCGATTTCGTGATCAATTACAATCTCCAGATGATCCGGAGAAAGTAAAGGATCGACTTGGTTTGTATAAGAAACCCTTGTTATAAGAAACAATTAAGTCCGACTCAATCACTTTCTTATAAGGTTAGTTGATAAACAATTTTATCCTTTAGCCTAGTCGTTCAAATTGAGAGTTTCGAGTCTTCAACGCTGCTTATGGCATATTACTGGATACGTATTCGATTTCATAGTAAATATTGTCGTTGCTATCTATGACATAACAATTATCGTGTGTTCGAGTCTATAACGTATGGTTCGTGCTCAAGTCTTCAATACTTTCTTCGTATACTTGTGCTATGCGAGAAATTCACAAAATCAAGCACATTAGAACTAGTGACCCGTAAAGAAATCGATATTGAAAGTAAAGCTTTTGGACGTATCAACTATCTAATTTCTAATATTTAGTATATAAGAAAAAGATGTTAAAATAAAAAGGTTCCGATCTTCTTGTTTTACAATATTTTAAATAAATTTTTTATAATAAAAATAAAAATTAATGCAACAATAATTGTATTATTAAAGGGAATGTGTTAAATTACCAAAAATTTAGCTGGACAAGGTCCCAATCTCTGGTCTACAACGCGAGATTATTATTATTATTAAAAATTGATATAGTACCCTCTAGCAACTTTGCCATTTAAGCAAATAATTTAATAATAAGAATTTTTGAAGTATTGTATAAGACTCTTGAATTATTTATTTTGCAGAAAATTATTTTTTTACTTAAAAAATTAGAGGCTAATTAAATGGCTAAGTTTATACAGGGGAGGGTACTATATACAGTACTAAACGGTTTTCATACTTCATGTTTATTCTTATTGTTATTACTTATATTTTACTATTGCTTTAAATAGTTGCATAATCAAGTAACTACAGCCAAACTCCTCTACTCTAAATGTATAATCCCTTAAATATACATATTTTAACTGATCTCTAAATGTATACGTATGTAGATTGTACTCACAAATTTCTTATAGAAAGCAATCCTTTACCTTAAACGATAAATAATAATAGATTAAAGTCGCATTGGATTGATGGATTTCAAAATGCCATCAAGGAGCCGAAAATGCGCTTCGGAATAGGATTCCGAAAATTCGATCTTGTGATATTGACCGAGATCTAGAAATCAAAATCAAAGTTGAAGTAATAGAATGCTTAAGAATGCTGATTCCATTTACTATTGGCGATTTGTGTTTAGGTGGACATTATGGTTGCGCTATATTTATAGTTTTCTATCAAAAAAAAAAAACTATAAAAGCTGCGTGGCTGTTGGTGTTTTCCATATAATCTGCCAGCATAGAATAAGACTATAATCACATTTTGTAACTTCTTTTATATATCGCATAAAATTCTTTATCATATTAAGACCTATAGAATTTTGTTTAATAAAATGTGACAAATGACCATTATCAAATCTAAATGTCAAAATATCTAAATGCAGTCAAATACGATAATTATTTGAGCAAAACATCAATGTGATATAATGCTTCAAAAGGTTTTGTTTTGAAAACATTTTTAGACATTCAACATATTTTACTCATTTCGGCATTTCAAACATTATGACTTTTTAGTCAAATCTAAAATCTATATTTAGGTTTTCAACTAATATGGAATCTATATAGAAATAAAAATAGTTTCATTTAATTCATTTTCAGAAATATTTAACATTCTTAGATTTTTTTTTATAATTGTTTTTAATGATCTACTATATACTTCCGATGGGAATTGTTGATGGTCGTCAATCGACTCTTTTTTTAGTATTAAAGTTTCAATTTTTGTAAACAAGTGTGATTTTTTATTTTATTATAAATAATTTCGATTATCGTGCTGATATTCATGTACATAACGAAAAACTGATCCTTATGTAAAATTTCAAATTCAAAAGACCAATCTAAAAAAAATCACGAGCTAAATGTTAACACAATATCATTTTTCATCATAAAATTTTAAATAAATAGAACAATTGTTGTTGCACGCTCATGTATCGGTATGTAACGGTAAGATAAAGAAGATTTAGAAGACAAATATGGTTAAAATTCTGAAAATGGTATTATCATGAGGAGGTGGGTATATATCTGCTGCGCTTGCATTACTTGACAGCTTTAAAAACTACAATTTTAATAATAAATAAATTATACGATGAGCGGAAATCAAATTCTATTGAACTGGATTCTTTAAATAGAAGTTAAATTTGTCGTGTTTCCCTATTTCATAATCTAAATTTATTTTTCGTCAAATTAGAATCTGAAAAACGGTTTAAAATGATGCCAGCTTAATAACCCGCTGTTTCATCCTAAATGACTGTTCTGTTATTGTTACACCACATCAAGTACCTGCATACTACCTGCATACGGGTTAAATATAACGTAGATATTCATAGCATGTAACCATCTTATGACATGTTTCCCATTTTTGTGATCTTTCCAAAACCACAATAATCAAATATAAACAATCCACATTCCATTCAGATGCATGAATAGTCTTCTCAATCATCGGGTTCAACGAATCGATTTTAAATTAATTTATGTTCGCCATAGTGAGTATGATGTATATGTTTTCATCTAACAAAGAATACACGAACTTGGCTGTAGAACAGTGCAAAGCGCCATTATTTGCCTGTAGATCTATGTCATTATATGCATTGTTCTCTTTATTGTTTTTATCGGTATTTTTACTAATCTAAAAATGTTAAGGGGCATGATCTTTCGTTATACATGTGTAATCTATAAATGCGAAGCATTCATGATTCGGTGAAGTATTTATTTATTCCCTTCTTGTCCATTATTTTCCTTGAAAATCGACAAGAAAAAGATAATCGACGAAAACCGCATCGAATAAAGAAGGCGCCAATTTAGACACAAAAATGGCGACAAGTCTCATTGACATCAATTTTGAAAATGGTTCATTACTAAACAAGTACAATAATTTCTTGAAATCCCCCTTTGCAAGTACAACACCGCCATCACCATTTTCAACGGAAACGAGTTTATCAACAGCAAAGAAGCCAGTTTCGAACGAGCCATACATCCTGAATATCGAAAGTACGGCCGAATATCACGTGAATCAGTACAAAGAAAGTTATGAAAATTACTTGGAATTATCCAAAGGTATTATAAATAAGGAAACTAGACAGGTCACGGTGGATAAAATACCAACAAAACCAAAAATAGATAGATGGGGTAGAATCAAAGAGAGCTTGCAAGAGAAAGCGGAGAGTCGTAATTTAGGAAGAGTAGGGGAGAAAATTCGATTTCGAAGAGAGGTGCAACAAGAGCAAATATGGAGAAAACAGCATGAAGTCTGGGCAAATTTTCGGGAAAATTGGGTTGGCGAGTTGCTTAAACAAGGGGAAATTGCCGAAATTGCAGGAGAAAATCGAGGAAGTGAAGCTAAACGACGACAAAAGCTGATCAAGAAATTAAGCAAAAATTGGAAAAAAGTCGAGTGGGAAGATGTTAGAAAGACAAAATATGGCGAAGTCGATTTGCATTGGTGAATATTTATTTTCTATTTTCTATTTTGTTGCATTGCCATTTTGTAATTAAATTTATATTCAAATTCGCCACTTTAGGTATAATACGTTGTCGTCACAGAATCAGTTTAATGTTGATTATGAATCGCCAAAGAAAATTCGACCGGAATTTTCGCGATCTCTTTGGCGATCTTCCCAAGTTTTTCGATTAATAGAAACAAATTTTGGAAAATGGAGCTATGAACAAGGTAATGTCTTGCTTTTTTGTTTTAATGTTGATTGTAGACCGTGCAAAGTAAAATTTATTCTGATTTTTATGAAAAATAGCATATAAAATTATTCTCGAACGAGAAAATTACTTTGAAAAATGCTGGAGTGAAGTGAAGCACGACCTCGACATTGACTTATTGTCACATGTATGGGAGAAGGAGCAGATACAACAGCAAGGGCAAGAAAATAAAGATACGCATGATTCTCTTTTACGAAAGTTGATAAAGTATTTAGAAAAAATTTATTGCGTTCCTTGGGATGAAATACCAAAGGATAAATTTGGAGAGGTGGACTTTGAATGGTATTTTTAAAGAAATGTTCTCGTGATTTTATAAATATACTTTAATTCAAGATTAATCATTTAATTGTGTGGTAATTCAGGTATCAGTCATTGACATCATTACAAAGATATCGAGTTGAACATGAAACTCCGTCTAAAATCAAACCAGAATTGGTTCAGAGTATATGGCGTCATGTCGAAATTAATAGAATCCGCAGTAACGGCGGTGAACATATTTCGCTTAACCGAGGTAAATTAATAAATTCAGTCTTGAAACTATATTCTAAATATTTGCGATAAATTTTAATTCCATTAAACATATTTAGCATATGAATTAGCATTAAGACGTGAAAACGAACTAAAAAGCAAATGGCTAAAAGTTCGGAATAATCCAATATGCATTCAACTCAGTGAATTGTGGGAACGCGAAGAGGTATGCAAATAATATTTTATTTTTTTGCTTTATTAAATCTATTAAATTTCAACGAATATCTATTATTTTAAGGAATTGTTAAGACAAACACAGAAAGAGTCTTCCAAGAAAAATATACATCCTCTCCCTTCTAAAGAATCCACAGGATCAGAAAACACAGTAATAGAACATGCGCAGTCGTCGACAACAATAGCTCAAGAGTCTGAAAAGAACACTATAGATGAAAAACATCAAGAATTCGACTCTAATTTTTGGTCGTTCAAGCTATTCTTCAAATGCGCCTTGAACGATTGACGAATATCGTGTTTGTGATAATTCATTTAAGCATAGTAAAATCAAAAAATTCAAATAGAATCGTGTAAATAAATAATATATTTTTGTTTTTTTTATTTTTGTTAAATGAATAAAAGCTTCACGTAAAAGATAATTTGCTAACAATCTTATTTTGCAATACAAATAAACCCCTTTACTGTGTGCTTAAGTATTCAATTACTTCTATGAAACAATCAAATTAAAAAGTTCTAAATATCAAAAAAACGATAATCTCCGCAAGTTGAAAAATAAACTCATACAAGAAATGTGCTAAAAGTTTTTACTCTAGTATAACGAAAATATGTATTAGCAAATGTAAAAAAGGGGCGGCGTATCGGCGTAAATTAGTTATGTCCGTGTTGAACTTTATTTCGAAATCAGAGATAATAAATAATACTGTGAGGAAGGTTACCATAGAAGCAATACGTTCACGAAATTATGTAGCACGCTCAATATAAGATGAAAAAAGTTATTCAATTCATATACGTGCGTCAGAAAATCTAGAAAAGCCAAGAAAATCAAGTATCATTGAATAAAGTTTTTTCGCAAGTTACGTTAAGCGTAGATTAATTAATATCTCTATCTACCCTTCTAACCTTTTTATGCTCTTTCTTTAAATTCGTAAAATAGAGACTAATTGCTCAAAAAGGGGAAAAAATGAATCGAGAACGATTGAAATGAACCAGTGACACTAACCGACTGTCGGTGGTATTAAGGTTCTTTCTCAAAAATTAATAATAAACACGAACTCTCCTGAACTTTTTCTTGTTATATGATTACACAATCGATCGTATTTCGTTACATTCTCAAATATTATGAAACTAATTTTTCCTGACTAACTAGAGAATCTCCATAGAACAATGTCATTCATTCTTACTAGAGACAATTTGAGCAAGAAAATTATACAACCATCGACAAAATCACCGAGTTCACGTTGACGTTGTCGAAGTTGGCTCGAAATTGAAAATGTCGACAACGATAATTTATAAGGTGGCCAATTTCATTGGTAGAATATCGCAACCTCATATGGACAAGCTTGTACTCTTCAAGAATTTGAACATGGGACGTGTGAAAAGTTAATGATTGGGCCCGGTGTTACAACATTTGTAGTGGCACTTGTCACCCCACTCACTAACGCCAATATTTATATAAGATTTGCAGAAAGTCCGTTTGTGGTTACACGGATTTTATTATAAAACTTAAGCGCCACTCACCCAACCAATATATTATACATGAGATGTTCAATTTATTATTTCTTAATTGAAAACGATGATTAAGAGAAAGAACAATGCGTCTTAATATATATGTATTGTTCGTTCAAATATACATGTATAAAATTTTACTGATGCCTTTTTCTGCTTCTGCATATTAATAAGATTTTTGTTAATAACTCGAATAATTTACAATACATGAAAATTACTGGTTACGTTAATTCTTTAATTCTTTATTAGGGGTATTGTCATTTTGAGGAAATGAGTGTTATTGCCATTTGAGAAATTTAATATTATTATAATCGTTATCTTTTAAAGACCGATAAACATGTACTCCACCAAAACAGACTATCAAAAATCCAAATATTTCGAAAACAATCAACTATACAAAACAAAATAAAAAAAGCCTTTAGAATATTAAAAATAAATTATTTAAAGGGTGCAAGATAAACGACAAACCTGAATATATAATCGGTGTAAATCAGATTTTAATATGCTAATATGTTGGTCATTAAGACGCACGTCATTCTCAATACGTTTTAATGCATCAAGTGTTTGCTCTTGGGATTTCGTCTGAAAGCAATTAATAATCATATTAATTTTTTCCTTGAACCAATTAAAAACTTATGACAACTTACCAACATTTCCACGGTTTGATTTAATCCCCAGATCACTTGCTGCCATTTAGTTTCCGATTCTTGATATCGTTTCCAAATATCCGCCAACAGATTACCTTGTTCCTCCAAGTACCGTCGAAAGAATGTGGCATTCGCCTCTAAATTCGATATCTTATTTTGAATTTTCTGAAAGACACTCAGTGTTCCTGATCCACCACCGGATCCAGTATAGGGTGGCGGTGGTGATGTATTATAGTAATAAGTAATGATTGTGGTGGGTAAATTTACTGTTTTGGTATTAGTAGCAGTAATGGTTGTAGTTGGTTTGTCTGAATTCAATGAGATTTGATTGTTCGATGATAAACTATTTTCATCTTTGGAAGTCGAGTCGGTAATCTCGTCATACGGCGGCGAATATATTCGAGGAGATTGATCTATTAGACAAATGTTCATTTTTCTATCTAATTGTGTTTCATGTTGTTGCTGTTCTAGTTTTTGGTTTTGTTGATTTTTTGGTTTATTTTGTTGTGTTTTTTTAGAATAATAAGGTGCTAAACTGAATTTATACTCGAAAGTATGTGGAACAGGACAAATTCCACTTACTTCCAAGTAATAATGCTCGGCGAAGTTTAAATCTGGCATATTATTATCATTTCCTGGTATATATAAATTGCCTTGATTCATATCACTGTTATCCCCGGAGAAAGAATATCTACGCAGCCTATCAATCATATTGTTATTTATTATATCGTCGTTGTTGAAATTCGAACCAGACGCCTCGATACCATCGCCATTAATAATAACATTATTATGATTGCTGTTGCCACTAATGTCGTTATTATTGTTGTTGTTATTATTATTATTATTATTATTATCAAGATCACCGCCAATAATACTTTCATCGCTATTCATCCGAATGTTTTCCTCGTGATTCTTATACTCTTCGATCATTGTAGTACCATGAACTCTCAGTAAACTAACAGGGCAGTAAACTTGATTCCCATAATGTGTTAAAAAATCAATTCTTAGATATCTTGCCCATATTACTGGATCACGTACTTCAAATAACTGTTATTTATTATTCATTTTAGTAAAGAATAAGATAGAAAATAATGGAATAAATAAATACACTAACTTGCATTTCTCTAGAATTCTTTGCTTTGAATTCGCCCAACAGATGCCATCCATCATCATTTTTACCATCGTTAGATGTGGGCGAAGGCGGATATCGATTACTGATTGAAACTCTAAATTCTTTAAAAGTCGAAGAAAAAAATTCAAAATTCGCCAATACAAAGGACTTTATAAGGATATCTTCGCATAATTCTACCACTATATATTTTTGCGCGTTGCATTTATTCAACATGTAAAAATCTTTGCTTTCCGATAGAATGGCGTGTGTTCCTTTTGCCTCGGGATTTGCTTTTAATATTGATGCGGCACAATCAAGCGACGCGTGATTTGTTAACACAGCAAGTTGTTGTTTGGTCACTAATTTTATTTCTTGATTATTGTGGTTGTGGTTGTTTTTGTTTTTATCGAGAGATTCGGCTGAAGAAAGAGGTGGAGAATTTGAATCATCATTATTAATATTTTCGAACACCGATCCAATGTCCCCTTCATTGTCCAATGAATCGATCATTCGATCGTTGTTATTGTTATTGGTGTTGGTATTGGCGTGTTGTTTCTTTGCATTTCGAGCTTCAATCTCAATTTCTTCTTGACCCTCCTTTTTTAACGTGTCTTTTCGCCACTCGACAAATGGCAATATCGATTGATGATTATTCGAATTTGCTGATTTTTTATTGCTCTTATTTTCCTCCTTGTAATTGAAATGCAGGGAAGAAGATGCTGCGAATAAAGATGGAAAATTAAAATACTTCTTTCCTTCTCTATGAGATATCGTGTCTTTATTTGAGTTAATGTCCATGTGTGAAGAAACGTTATTGGCATCTTCGGGTGCAACACAACTTTGACAATGTGTACTTTTCCATAGTAAACTTTCAAATGAATGATTATCTGGCTTTAGACATTCAACTTGTCCTTCGCGTTCTTTAGAAGGCTGCTGCCGTTGTTCTTTTTTAGATAATAGAGTAGAGTCGAAAGTTGTAGAAAATTGTGGAATAAAAAATGACCGAGGTGTAAATAATAGTATTATTAATGGTGTGCATACCAATATCATTATCAAGTTTCCGAATCTCGGCCAGTGCATTGTTCCTATTACTGTTAAAAATGCATTCTATGTGAATTTTTTTACGCGCTCGTTTTATTTAAAATCATGTTTTTTAATGATGCAAAAAATCCGCGGATTTTTTCACTAGATCGTGATTTCTTTTTTTTTAAAATCGAACTAAAATTTATTAGACTTTTGATACAAAGTAATTCGAAATACAGCGCTTATTTGTGTTATTACAAAGAATAAGATCTTAAAATACTATTCTGTTTTTTCCATTAATTATTAGTAGAATAATATTAAAATCTCAAGTTATGCTCAATCAAAAGTGTAAAAAAAAGTAAATTTTTCGAAAAAAAATCTTTCAACCCTATTAATTAGTTATTATTAATGTTTTTGTGTTCGCTGCAGACAATTGTCCATCTATTTATTTATTTGTTGGTTGGTTGGTTGTTGCGTCATCGTTATTTTTTTCTAATACGTTGATTCGTGAGATCTCAAATACCTGCTATTTTCATTGTTAATGTAAAAGCTTTCTGTCTCTCTCCCTCCCTTAGATAAAGGAGAAAGAGAGTAGAGTATGATTTTTCAATGTTTTTCAGATCATAAAGAAACTAAAAGAGATCACGGTTATAACCGTCACGGAAAATGTCATAGCAATAGGAATTAATGGGAATGAGCCATCGCTATAACAAGTTGCGCAAGTATACGCTATATAATAAATTTAAAAAATTAATAAATTGTTAAACAAAAGGATGACCGAATAACCTGAAAAGAATAAAAAAGAATACGAACCATCCAATGGGGTATACGATTGCGGTAAATATAATGAAAATACTAGACCATTGAAGGGTTCTAATCTACCAGCAGTTGCTGGCGCATTTATACCACGCTCGTCAGTGATATATAAGGTGTAATCGGCCATTACCAACGGGGGATTTTTTTGATTGGAGGTATCCCATATATATGAGGTGGCCGAGGCAGAAATATTTTGAGCAATGGTGTACCAAGTTTTTGTTGATGCTTGAGTTAAAAGATTAAGAACTTGAGGTTTTATGATCGGTGTGCTTTGGTATTTCCATCCGAATGTAACTTGACTTCCGATCTTGTATAATGCTTTTCCTTGAGTAACTGCCGGTGTTGTCATTTGGATTATTGCTGGTCCCACTAATGGATCAACAATTATCGAACTCGAGCCACTTGAAGTTCCACTAGGAGATGAGGTGGAGTTGGTTGGAGTAGCAGAGCTATTATTGTTATTGTTGCTGGTGGAATTATTTGATGATGATGATGATGATGATGATGTATTATTACCACTATTATTACCGTTATTGTTACTATTATTGTTGTTGCTATTATTACCACTATTATTATTATTATTACTGTTATTGCTGTTATTGCTGTTATTATTACTGCTTTGTGATGAACCAGAGTTCTGATTGCTGTTACTATTGCCATTACTCGCTCCACCATTACTGCCATTACTACCATTATTTCCACTATTACCACTATTACCACTGTTGGAGCCACTATTATTTTCTATACGGAGCACGAGATTAAAGAAATTTCACTGTTAAATTAATTAAATATACGGCCACGATGACTTTATCCTTTTTTTTCTTCATTTTACGTATACTTACGTCTCTTCCACCAAGGTTCTGCAGAGGCTTGCATAGCAAAAGAAACGAACAAGCAAATGGCCATTAAAACCATTCCCCATCGCAAGGAAGAACGCATGTCGTCGACTTTTTTTTTAATTATTATTCAGTAACTAACTTGAAGATGTAAAAAAGTTTCGAACTAATAAATTATTTTTATGTTTTTCTATATATGTTCTTTCAAAGGAAAAAAAAGGCTCAGTCCAGTAGTAGTGTGAGGGTAGTAAAGTACAAAAAAGCCTGGTCCGAGTTAAAAAAATGAAACAATCCACGCTTTGGTTTTTTTGGTGGGACACTCGATAGTGTATAAATATCTTTTTTTATTTATATAACTTCTATAATTACACACATACATTAATTGAATTTGATTTGTTTGGTTTTTTTGAACTTCTACTTTTGCGCGATCAAAGTATGGATCATTGATAAACATAGTTTTAATTTACTTCTCTATTTAGTTAGAAGATCCTGTGGGTTCCTTATACTTCTTATAGCACAGCCTTTTCTGCTTTTCAATTCTGCAATTGGTGATACCCAACGTCGCCGAATTTATTATAAAATGAAATCACAATTATCAATCAGATGACAAAAATATCTTGAAAAATTCTACGTCATCAAATACAAAAATTGATATGGGTGTCGTGATCAATCAGCTAGCCAGCAGAGATTGCTGCCTTTCTTTCATTATTAGTCTTGGTTAGCTAATTGCCGCCCTTAATGCAAGCTCAGTGCTCCCTAAATTTAGCCCAGCAGGTATTTTACATACATACACACAAATATAGATTACTGGCTTAAGTCTTGATCAACCCTCGTTGAAAATGAAACGAAAAACTTATACCTCTTACATTGCTTTTTCCGTTTTCCCCTTTAGTTCACTGCATTGCTATCGGAAACGTCACTGCTTCTTCAATCGTTGAAATTACCTCATTCTGTTTCACCAAAGAATAAGCCTACAAGCTCATCGGCCGCCGCTTTAGCTAATCTACAGGTTATCTAACTTTTCCGAAAAAAACACTGCTGATTTTCTCTTCGGGAAAACGATTGACTTCTGATTGTACCATATTGTCCTGTTACAGGCTCGCGATTTACCAGAATGTGTGCGCGTTTGTCGGAAAGTTGAGTCCGTAACTACCGCGGCTTTAGCCGACGCGATTTCCATTCTACAAAAACACCCTTCATTGCACAACACCAATGTCGAGACATTATTATCCCAATTCTCAGGTTCATATAATTAAGATTATCGAAATACAAATAAATGAAGAGCTGACATTTATTACAAGTTTTATAATAAAAGTAGCATACATAAATTATGATTGAAAATGAAATGATAACACAAACTTTAACATTTTAGGGAATTTATCTCGAATAACAGCCGAAAATTGGGCTAGTCAACCACCTAAAAATCATAACAATCCTTTCATAATATCACTTTTGAAATTTCGAAGACATGGTTGGAACAATAAAGTTAGTTTATTTTGTTGAAACAGAATATCTTTAACTAATTCGTTTTATCGTTAACGTTGACTTAGGTTATGTCAACCCATATACACAACAACGAAAATACTACGTTACGAATAGTGCTTTTCGATTTGTTAATCATCGACGGCTTCAACAGCTTGAAGTCGACGCAAATTCGTTTCCGAATGATCCTTCAAAGCAAGCAGAATTTTATAAAGTATGTTATGACATAAAAGGAGAAAGGGGAAATATTATATTCGAGAATCGTCGCTTACATAGAATCATTATCATTTGAACCCACGAATTTTATGTTTCTTATTATTCGGCTCATCAGGAACTTTTGAAATCTAATAACCCTCATGTGGTCATATCTCGATTTGAACGAGGAAAATATGCTCAAAATGAGGAATGCTTTCAGGCATATATCACTGCATTGGCACGGACAGACCAAGTGGAAAAAATATTACCAAATATAGTGCAAAAATTGGAGCAATCAGCGGAATCAAGCGGTGGTGGTAATTACAACTTAATTTGATTAGTTTCTATAACCTTGAATCATAATTTTAAAATTTTGAACTTTATCAATTTTAGCTTCTAAACCAATCGCGACCGCTGACCTAGTTCAAGCTATACTTGGTAATTCAGGCAAAAAAGCAACTATACAAAATGGTTTATCTAACTATCACGCTGCTACTGGTGGTAAAGAAAATCCGATTTATGTCGTAATAGAAGAAGGTAAATCACACAATTCACATATCATTCTCTTACCAATTATTTTAATCACGCTTCCCGACAATAATCTCAATGTTCTTTTAAAAGCTCGGGGCTATATGTTTTGGCGCGCATTACGTTGGGTTGGAATTACCTTTACGTATGCTTTTTGCATTCTTACATTCCTTAGTTTAGCATTAGAGAATTCCGGCCTCTTAAAGACTGGCGCATCACAATCTGAATATGAACCTTCATCACAACAAGTGGTGAAATTTTCAGATGTTCATGGAGTTGATGAAGCAAAAGAAGAATTGGAGGAACTGGTGGAATTCCTAAAAGATCCCTCTAAATATACTGGATTGGGTGGTCGCTTACCAAAAGGTGTATTATTGACTGGGCCCCCAGGTACCGGGAAAACACTACTGGCTCGAGCTGTTGCTGGCGAAGCAGGTGTTCCATTCTTTTTCATGTCCGGCTCAGAGTTTGATGAAATGTATGTCGGCGTGGGCGCAAGGAGAGTTCGTGAACTTTTCGGTAAGTATATTCTCCAAATAGAGTAATCAATTTCCTTTTGTTTTAAAGTGTTAAATGCAATAATTTTTATATGTATTTAAAATTGAAAGCGGCGGCAAGGCGTAAGGCACCAAGCATTGTCTTTATAGATGAGTTGGATGCTATTGGCTCAAAAAGAAATCCCAAAGATCAAACATACATGAAACAAACTCTCAATCAATTGCTAGTTGATTTGGATGGGTTTGTATGTCACGTTTTGACTCTTGTCTTTCGATAAAGAATCTAGCCAAGTTTATGTATTGCACCCCATTTATATTAATAATTTCTATTGCTTTAATTAGCTTCTCACAAACAGAAGGGGTTATATTTATTGCTGCAACAAATTTTCCCGAACTCTTAGATAAAGCTTTGGTCCGTCCTGGGCGTTTTGACAGACATGTTGCGGTGCCATTGCCCGATGTTCGCGGTAGAATGCAAATACTAAGACATCACCTAAAAGATGTCCAGCTTGCTAAAGGTTTGATTTTTTCTTTTGCTGTAAACATCATAATTTTTCCTAACATAAGCACTAAAAAAAGTGATTCCATCTGGTTGTAGATGTTGATATTAGTGTTATTGCAAGAGGATCTCCCGGATTTTCTGGTGCAGATTTAGCAAATTTGGTGAATCAAGCTGCAATCCAAGCCTCGCGTGATGGTGCACGAGAGGTGACAATGATGCATATGGAACACGCCAAAGATAAAATATTAATGGGAGCAGAACGTCGTTCTGCTGTGGTAACAGAGGAAAGTAAACGCGTAACAGCATACCATGAAGGTGGACACGCTTTAGTCGCATTATATACTCCCGGTGCAATGCCATTACATAAAGCTACGATAATGCCGAGAGGAGCTAGTCTTGGAATGGTATGGTATCACATTATCATCCTATACATGCTTAAAATATCTATCGATCAGTAGATTGAATCTTTTAATATATTTTGATTATAAATAGACTATTCAATTACCAGAAATGGACAAAGATTCCTACACTAAAAAAGAGTATCTTGCACAAATTGATGTGTGTATGGGTGGACGTGTCGCTGAGGAAATGATTTTTGGAAAGGAAAATGTCACCTCGGGTGCTCATAATGACATTATGAAAGCGACTGAAGTGGCTAAGCGCATGGTCACTCAATTTGGAATGAGTGATAAGGTATTTATTTTATATGAATTTACATTAATTTCGGTTCATTTAAATTCTAATCATTAAATGCATGTATATAGGTTGGCCCCGTATCACATCCCGATGAAGAGCTGGAGCAGTTGAGCACTCAGACTAAATTAATAATAGAAGGCGAAATTAGAGGACTTGTCGAGGTAAATCATCTTTAATAATTTAAATATATAAGAAAACTTGATGTTCGTTTAAATTTCGTTAATGTCCGCTCTTTATAAATAAACCTTTTAGAATGCTCAAACGCGAGCAACAAACATTTTGAAAACTCACAAAGAGGAATTGCATCGTCTTGCTAAAGCTCTGATGGATTATGAAACTTTAAATCAACAAGAAATCGAATTAGTTGTTAAAGGAAACAGTATTCAACGATAATATAGTGGTAATTTTGATAAAAGATTTTGAAACGTTCAAAAAAATCATCTTTTTCGTTTTTATTTTTTATTATTTATTTCTTAATTAAATGAATAGCATACATAATTTGTTGATCGTATTAATTATTTGAGCTAGAATCTAACATTAAAAATTTTGGTTATTTTTTAACAAATTAGTTGTTAAAAAAAAAAAAGTGGTGATCGGAAACAATATTCCCCATAAAAATTTCCGGTGGCGTAAATGTCTACATCACACGATTTTCTATCCTAAGCTTTATATGGTGATTGAAATCCTTTTAGAGCAATTTTAAAGTTTTGCAAAAGGAAATTCTTCATTTATTACTCGATGGTATTTTCCTTTTACCGCAAATATTTTGCTATCGCTATGGTGGCTTATATAAATCCTAATTCTTGATTGTTTCGGATTAAGAAGCATTCCATTCGAAATTGATTTGCATTTAAGCTATCGCTATAAACAGTTCAAACAAACAATGGTAAATTTTGTGACGTAGTCGTGAACTTAATAATTAATTTGTGCGTCAGTGTGTAATGTGAAAATGATCAGTTTTTTTTTGATATTCATTATTATTATTTCTGAATCAATATATTATTACAATATATTATTATCGTTATTAGTGATCAATCAATCGATTCCTCCGAATTCATTCAGAGAGATTTCCCATGCAGTGTGTGTTTATATATACAAAGTAGTTGAATCTGTCATTACATCAAAAAAAGACAAAAGGATGATTTTACTTTAATATCTCCCTCTCTCTTTCTCTTGGCTTAAAATATAATAATATCTGTCAACATACAATCTATTATCTACTCACTACTTTGTTTTAAATATTTTACATTGCGTGCGCGTTCGGTTTACTTTTATTCGTGTTTGATGACAACCATATTTTTTTATTCCTCCCCTCTTTTGTTATTTTTTCTTATTTCTGGGTTTTATAGATATTAATTAACCTTAAAGTGTTTGGAAAGGACGATATATAAATGATTAAAATAGTCTAATATTAACTTACTTTAGTTTATTGTTTTATCTCTTTCTCTTTAAACCTAAAAGCTACACAAAACAACAATGGATCCACCTCCAATAACCCCATTAACAAAAAGATCTCTAATATCAACTGACAGTAATAATGGTCGCTCACCAACGGAAGGTAGCAGTTTACGCCCCGACCTGATTGACCACAATTCGAAACGGATCAGACTTACTTTACCTCCTATCCCTTTGGGTCCTCCTCAACAGTCAACACCAGCACAACCACCTTCTCATAATAATGTATCCGCCTCAAATGGGTTGTTACCACCTTTTCCACTTCGACCACCCATTTTCTCGTCGCAAAAACAATCAGAGCAAATTAACGATTCTTTGCCACCCGTCTTAACAAATCCTTACATACCTCCGCCTCTGTCGATTCCCCAAGATGTTCAAGAACTACCATCAATCGAATCTTTTGCAGTACCATTACAACCACCACCACCGCCACCTTCTTATTATCATCACAATCCTCTTAATAACGTTACCAACAAAAATGGCAATAGTAGCAATGGCAGTAGTGGCAGTAGTGGCAGTAATAGTGGCGGCAATAGCAGTAATAATAATAATCCAATGTCTTTTTCCAGGATACTGATTAATAATCCGGAAGATGATGACGATCAGAGACAATCTCAAGAAGTAGAAGAGGAGGATCATGAGGATCCGTATGCTAGTTTGAGGCTTATTTCACACAATAATGGTGTTAGTAATGGTATTGGCATTGGTAGTTCTAGCAGTAATGCATCACCAACAAACTCTACACAACAACTTCAATTGTCAACGACAACAATGATTAATTACCACGAAAATATCAAAGAGAGGAATGATGAACCTCAAAAATACGAAGAGACAAATGGCAATAATGAAGAGGCTGGGGAAGTACAAGAGATCGAGAGAGAATATGAATATGAGGGGGAAGGGGAAGCGGAAGTGGAAGAAGAGGAGGAAGATGGTGATGACGAAGAGAATTTTATCTCTTTACCTGGATTATACAATAATCCAACACCTCGACGCCCACAATTGATTGTGCAGAATGATGATTCGTTAAATATGCAAGGGATCGAAGAACGGCGTCTTGGTATGTTTACTTTTATAGTATAATGCATTGATGGTAGTATTAATCTTGGCGGATTTTTTAATTATTCTTTTTGAATCACGGATCCAGTTCTTCGTTTTTAACCAATATGTCTTTATATACAAATAATATTAAAGGTTATGTGGTGTATAACCCTAAAGAGATACTTCCACCGCTTGAATTTATGGAAAATGGATTACTAGAAGTTTGGATTCCTTCACAGCATTTGACATGGGATAATACAAAGGTTAGAAAGCGTTGGTTATGGGGTACCGACGTTTATACTGACGATTCGGATGTAGTAGCAGGTAGTATAGATTACTTGTTCCAACTTTCGTACATTATGTATTCTTTTAACAAATTAATGTTGATTTATTGATTGATAATTCAGTATTAATACATACCGGCCATTTTATGCCGAAACCTCAAAAACCACAATGGTCACCAAATTTCCCTGATTATGATTTAGGCGTAACTATTCGCGTTCTTCCGAAGCTAATTCAGTATACATCTTGTTCTCGGAATCGAATAAAGAGTAGATCATGGGGAAATCATCATGGTGTTAGCTTTAAAATTGAAAGTGTACGAAAAATGAAGGTAAAATTCAATTTACTTTTTTCAAATACCAAATAAATATTGGCTTCTCGTTAAGTCCAGAGAACCAAAAAAAATTATTAGGAGGGGTAGATTACAGACGGTTTTAGGAAATATTTTATCATTTCGGAAAAATTAAAAAAAAAAGTAAGCAAGATTAATTTTTGTGAAATTATTAGGAAGGCGAAGCTATAAGCAGAGCACGTGGCGGAGAACGGAAACAACGATTGCAAAGATTCCATCGTTTAAAAAGATTAGCATTCGGAGATTCAGAACGAGATAATAGTCAGTTATTTGAACATGGTACAGCCCTAAAGTTCAATATTGGTGAACAGAGTGCAGTTCTAAAGTTTAATATCGACGGAGACCCTTGGTAAGTGGTTTTTTGATTTAGCTTTGGAATCAGAATTTATTAGCTAATTTTGATTTACACGAATATACAGTTTCAAGTACAGTCCACACTTAATGGCCAATCAAGAGAATCTAGCAAAGCAATTCAGAAAAGAAGTCATGTTCTTAGAGAATGACGAAGAACGGTTAGTATTCTCACAATAATGTTTACTTTCTTATTAATGTCTTTTGTTTCACTAAAATCTAAATTTTCTATTAATTGGTCGATATTAGCTTTGAGATATCATATGATCCAAGAGTCGAAAGATATCGAGTCGCAGTTGTTCTACCTTCGATACAATTAAATGAAACACAATTAACAACGTCGTCATCAACAAGACACAATGAAACTAATCCGCCTATCTTGCCATTAGAAAAATCAAATCTTGAAGAAATACTTCGTGATGATCTGTTTCTTCAAGACATAGAATGGGTAAATGTGGGTGTAATTGTAAAGGATAGGGTGAATACACCACAAAGTCTGTTAATTGTACTTAGACGAGTTTTCTGGCGGAAACGAACACATGAAGTTGTTTCTTCACGATAAAAAATAAGATTTAGAAAAAATTCTATTATTACAAGTGTTAATAATATTTATTTTTTTATTGCTTAAATCAATATTCAATATACAATTATTATCTATAAAATCGATCAGTGCATATAAAGCAAAATATTCAGGTTGTACAAAAGTTTGCATAAAATATAGTAAAAAATTACTTTAACTTTCCAATAAAGACTAATTTT